TACACGATTTCAATCTATAGATTTCCAACATAATAATTTTTTTGGTTGAATTTTTTTGGTATATGCATCATATATCGATTTTATAAACTCATATTACTCTAACTATGATATGATGCTATATTTCATATATTAATATTTTCATATAGTTGTACTATACTTTATATTTCAAAGACCATACTTTATAAACTCATATTACTCTAACCATCATATGATGCTATATTTCATATATTAAGATTTTCATATAGTTGTACTGCACCTTATATTTCAAAGACTATACTTTATAAACTCATACTACACTTTATATTATATATATTAAGATTTTGTTATAGTTGTAGATATTTGTTAATGTATTATATAATATATTGTCTATATCAACATTTTCATGAGTTCTCTTCATATATCAAACATTTTTAATATGTCTCACTACTTCTATCATTTATTTCATACCTCAAAACCATTTCAAGACATTTGAGAATGAAAAATCCATTCAAATATCCTTCTGAGGAATAGAGAATAGTTTTGACATTTTTTGGTATATGCATCATATATCGATGATATGATACTATATTTCATATATTAATATTTTTATATAATGTACTACACCTTATATTTCAAAGACTATATTTTATAAACCATATTACTCTAACTATGATATGATGTTATATTTCATATATTAAGATTTTTAGTTGTACTACACCTTATATTTCAAAGACTATATGATATAAACTCATACTACACTGGCCTACACTTTGTAGCTAGTGTAGTTGATTGTAGACCTTATATTACACGATTTCAATATATAGATTTCTAACATTATAATTTTTTGGTTGACATTTTTTGGTATATGCATCATATATCGATGATATGATTCTATATTTCATATATTAATATTTTCATATAGTTGTAATACACCTTATATTTCAAAGACTATACTTTATAAACCCATATTACTCTAACCATGATATGATGCTATATTTCCTATATTAAGATTTTCATATAGTTGTACTACACCTTATATTTCAAAGACTATATGATATAAACTCATACTACACTTTATATTAAGATTTTTTTATAGTTGTAGACATTTTTTAATGTATTATATAATATATTGTCTATATCGACATTTTCATGAGTTTTGCATACTATATCAACCATTTTTAATGTCTCACTACTTCTATCATTTATTTTATACCTCAAAATCATTTCAAATATAAGGAAAATGGAGAATCCATTCAAATGTCCTTCATTTCACTTTTTTCTCCATTTCAAGACATTTGAGAATGGAGAATCCATCCAAATGTCCTTCATTTCATGTTTTTCTTCATATGTCGATATATCATCATTCTCATGGTGACATTTAATGGACGAGATACGTTTTGTTAAGAAAATATTGCAAAAATATTTTCTATAATTATCTTCCTAATAAAATAATTAAATTGCTTCATCTACACGTTTATAAATTAACCACAATCAATATCATGGTTAGTTATTCTTTGGTTGGATTCCATAAATTTTGGTAACTTACCGTAGTTGGATTACCATTAACTATTAAACTTTAGACTTCCCTGTCTAATTAAAAATATCTTTAAGAAATATTCCTTATTCCTCGAAATAGATATTTTTAAAAATCGTCTAAATATTCTGCCCTACATTTACATAACCAAAATATATATTGTCCCTACCTATTATAAATATAGCCTCTCTTAACCACTATATTCATCATTCCTTGAAAAACCTAAAAGACATGGCGAATAATTTGCAGTTGTCTTTCTTGAGCGATATAAAACCGAGGAAGACTGCATGTCGCATCCAAGTCAAAATCCTTCATACATGGAGACATTTCATGAAAGATATAGGGGAGAGCATGGAACTAATCCTTTGATGCAAATGTAAGTTTATCGTTTTATATAGATTTATGATTTAGATATCTTCATTTCGTAAAAGTTTAACCTAAATGATAATGTTTTTTTTTTGTTTATATAGGGAACTAAGATCCATGCCACGTGTAACAAGACATACATTCCTAAATTGGCAAAACATATTCGTGTTGGAGTATGGAGGAACATTGATCGTTTCAGTTTGTCTGCCGCTGGTGGAGCATATATATCAACTCAGCATAAGTATCACATAGCTTTTACTGACACCACCAAAAGCACCGATTCTACACCGTGATGACAACATGTTTCTTGATCTAGTTGATTTCAAAACCATATAAGTATCACATATACAACTTCCTTATTGGTCAGTTTTCTCCTATTTTTATAAATTATGTCCATTGTTGATGCATATTGAAAAAATTGATTGGCGGGTGCGGGTTATGAGTATTTTATGCGGGGCGGGTGCGGATTGGTGGATTTTGAATCGCGGGTACCCGCCAACCCGTAATTGTTTTTTAAATTGTTTTTTTTTGTTAGCAAAAATTTATTTTTGTAAAAATAAATAAATATTTTTAAACATACGGTGATTTTTAAAAAAATAAGAATTATTTTTTTTTAAAAAATATATTTTTTCTATTATAAATATATAATTTTATTATTTTTTAATAAAAATTAAATGAAATAATTATCTTTAAAAAAATATAATCCGCGGGTCCTGCAGGTTACCCGCAAAATTAAGTGGGGTAGATGCGGATATAAGTTTATATGTTCGCGGGTTGTCAGGTCGGATTTGTTGACAAAAAATAATTAAGACCCGCGGGTTGGCGGGTAAGCGGGGTGGGTTTGACCCGCAACCCAGAGATGTTTGTTAATCCTGAAGTCCCAGAGGCATATGAATTTAAACAACAGTATTTATCTACTACAATAAAAATGTTTTCAATTTATAATAGTATAGATTAAATTATAAAACTTATTTATAATTGTAGAGGTGATGATGATTCTCAAGCGTTAACCCTGGCTGAATCAAACGAGAACAAGCTTGAGTTGCAGATAAAGCGAGATAAATGGATGCATTATCCTCAAAAGAATCTTCAGAAGTTACTTGAAACATCTGAGGTATTGCATTTTCAAAAACTATACTAATATGGAATTTGGCATCTCTTTGATTGTTTATTTATGTATTTATCGTTTTTTAGGAAAAACTATGTAGGGTTGTTGCGATAATTTATGCCATTGATATAGATTGGGAATGGTATTATTTTAGATGTTTAAGTTGTAACAACAAGAAGATTTTATCCACATTCCAGAACGGTTAGAAATTCAACCAATTTTGGTTTCAAGCCTTTGCAATAGTATTGATTTTCCAAATTTACTATGGGCCATGGACCCATCCAATTTTTGTTTCAATTTAATATGTGTTTTAATTCTTCATATTCTCACAATACTTAATTTTCAGATTCTCGATTCAACCAAAAACTGACTCGGTTATGCAAAACTCAATGAAAAGACTCTATTAAAATGTTAAAAATACATCAGATTTCACATATAAAACTATTATATAATAGACATTGAATCATTTTATACATTTTGTTACAACCGAAACAAAACCCGCGCTTCTCAAGCGCGGGTCAAAATCTAGTTATCATTAAATTATGTAACATTTGATAATCTTGATAATCTTTCTAAGGAATAGTCCATTTTAAATTAACCACATATGAATCAAGGTTGTGAATTCTATTTTAATATATAAGATTTTACGAAGAATAATACGTTAAGTTTGATTTTTTTTTCAGTTTCTAGAAAACTAAGCTGGCACTCAAAAACAGTACCAAACTAAGCGTAATAATAATTAGCAGTTATGACTACCTTTAACTTGAACGGAATGCTCGATGCTTAACAATGGACATTAGCTATGGAATTTTTTATATCAAAAGTCACTTTATCACTGTTCAATTACATCCAAAGATACAATGCATTTGCAAGACACTTTTCATGAGATCTAAAGAGATAAATGACGGTTTGCCCTTAATGAGATGAAAGGAAAGAAAGAGAAAATATATTTCCATAATTATTTAATATACTTCTTAATATTTCATTTTTGTTTATTTTTAAATTAAAGATACATATTAAAAAAAAATTAATATGATAAATTATGTTTTTTAATTCTCTATAATTTGATTTCCACTTTAATATGTATATACATGTACATGTATCCAGTGGTTATGTTATGCAATAATGATATATGGATGTTTGAAAATCGTAGATGACTATATATAGACATATAAGCATGGAAGGATATATCTGGATGAGTGTTTATTGTTTTCACCGGTCTATGTATCCCTCCTCCACACATCACCACTCCACACATCACCTATCTATGCATCACTCATTAACCCGTCCACGTATCACCCATTAAAAGCAAAAACATGGATGACTACATGTAGACATATAAGCATGGAATGGTATATGTGGATGAATTTTTATGTTTTTCTATGTTGTTATCATATAATGTTTTATCCATCCATGCATCATCCGTCCACATATCTCTCGTTCACATATCACCCGCTCACACATCACCCATCTAGGCATCACCTATTCACCTGTCCACATATCAACCGTCCACATATCACCCATCCACGCATCAACTATTAAAGGTAAAACGGTCCAAAATCTATTCATGTCCCACAACAAAGTGTCTCACATGTAGGTACTGGCTCTAAGTGTAAGAAAAAGTCAAAACGTGGCTTTGAGTGTACGTAATCACCTCTTAGTTATGGGGACACACACACATAAAGGATACAAAATGAAAACATTAATTTTAAACTACATTAATAGGACAAAAGATAGTTAAAGAGAGACTTTGGAATTTTGCAGTTTGCCAGAGTAGCAGTTAAATATAGCCAACAATTCCTCTAGGTGCCTCATGGATGCCTTGGTTCATTGGAAGATACACGGCTTGTTCTTCCAAGGCTTGATTCATCAAATGAAAATTGTCTTGTTCTTCAAGTTGTAGTTGAGTCTTCATTGGAACCATTGGGAGTGTTTTGGTCTGTCCCTTATATTGAACATATGGATAGGCCGACCATGGAACATAATGCTACTGCTCCTCGAAGGTTTGATTCATCATAGCTGGAACCTCTGAATGATCGGTATGTTGTCCGAAAATCTGGCTTTGGAAATCAGTTTTCCAAAACTGTTGCTTCCTTGGAAAGAGATAGGTGGCTTGTTCAGGAATCTGGTTTTTCTGTTGAGTAAGAGACCAGTTTGAATCTTGTCATCAAATTTTTGCTGAGTAGCTAGCTCTCCGAGAGCTAAAAGATCATTGTTATGACTCAAATACTGATTGTTTTGAGCCAAAAACAGAGCAGAAGAACCAAAATCTTGATGCTGCTCCTTCTCTATGGCTAGAGCTAAGTGTGAAGGATCATCCATAACCATAAGTGAGTGATAGGTTTGCTTGATAGGTGGCTTGTTCAGGAATCTGTTTTTTCTGTTGAGTAAGAGACCAGTTTGAATCTTGTCATCAAATTTTTGCTGAGTAGCTAGTTCTCCGAGAGCTAAAAGATCATTGTTATGACTCAAATACTGATTGTTTTGAGCCAAAAACAGAGCAGAAGAACCAAAATCTTGATGCTGCTCCTTCTCTATGGCTAGAGCTAAGTGTGAAGGATCATCCATAAGTGAGTGATAGGTTTGCTTGTGTTCCAAGAATATGGATTTGCTGCTGACCTGAAGATTTTCCAAAAAAAAATTGAAGAAAAAAACCCTTGCCTTGATGTTAATTCATCCATGCTTCCTTTCACTGAGAAGTACAAATACAAACAACTAGAACATCTTATAAATAAACAACATAACAAACTTGTATAAAAGACCAATCACGACAACACTCACAATCATGTTTCTCAACCCTCTAAAAACACTACTTATGATTGTATCTCATAGGATTCTCCCAAATAATCTATATATATAAAGGAGAAGGGAATCTCTTCTTAAGGTGTCTACATCAGCAAAAGAGAGGTGAACATTTTGGGACATGTGGCAAGATATGAAAGACTCAATAATGTTGTGCTTCTCCATCTTCTTTGTAATGTCTTCATTTATCGCCACTTGAAACATTAATCCAAACATTGATTTGTGATATGAGCAAAACAAGAGAAATAAGCTGTTCTTACCACCACATTTGAGATCCCTGCAAATTTTTAGACTTAACCGAATCAGATTTAATCTATTGAATAAAATGTATACATGTATTTTTTCATGATAAAAAGGTTTTCTTTAATAAAAATGATTACATGAAACAGAGAATAACAGCAATGAACCATAACACATGAGCTCTAACTAGCGAAGCAAATCTTAAAGGGTATATACGTATTATTATTAGTTTTATCAATTACTAGAGATACTAAACCAGATAGCAAACGATATATACATATTATTTGGAGTTTTACCAATTAAAAATTTAATGTAAATCAATTTCAAGATTTAATTTCAATCAGTTTTAGATGAAAGATTATACATAATTATATATGAATCTACTATGGAAAGTTTGCTCTAGATCTTTTATCATAGAATTTTATATGATTTATGCTACTCTTACAAGAGATATATTGTTTCCAAACATATTTTCACTATATGTATATAGATAGAGTACTCTCAAATAATATCTTACTAAACTATATATTTCACTTTGTCAAGGGACATTCAAATGAAGAATCATCAAAAAAATTTGCTGCTTTGTAGACAGATTGAATAATGAGTGCGACTTCATCGTCTCTTCATTCACCTATGACATAAATTGAAAAAGGGTTCTATTCAAAATTTTTAAAGTAAGGTGAAGAGATAAAACATGCAATGGGTAATCATTTTCTAAGAAAAAATATATAAAGAATATAAGTTTTATTTAAGTATGGTTATGGTTATGTAGTATATTTCTAAGTGTTGAATATTTAAGTGTTGAATATAATGCTAGGTCTGGAAACCTGTCAATATATATATATATATATATATATATATATATATATATATATACTAATTTATATGTTTAGATATCTCAAAGACTCTCTAAATCCAGCTACACCTCGGACCATTGATCAATCTACAAGATTTATACTCTCATTAATGTCCATTGACCATTCCTCTTAATATGTCCCGGTTATAAACATCCAACTTGAATATAATTCCATTTAACTCAAAATTTGTATGTATAAAAAATTGTAAACCATTTTCAACAGAACCCATCATGTGCTAACAAATTCATGCTAAAGCACAAGATGCATCATGTATAGTTATTCGACTGTTTCTTATAAACTTCGAGATCTGAGATTAATATACATATTAAATAGGATAAAAATTAATAACTATTTTGTAAATTTGTGTGAAAACAAAAAACACATACATAATTGTGGGATAATATTGACACTATATTAAATGAGTCATTATAATTCCTAAAAATAGTAAAATACATAGCTACAATTGTTATAAAAACAATTATGAACCTATTAATACTAATTTTAGGTTAAAAAATTATTATATAACTTTATTTACACGCCCGCCCGTAGGGCGGGTTTACCCTTGTAATATATAAAGAAGAAGAGAAAAATAGAGAGATGACATTAAGTTGAGAATGTTCTCAAAGAAGAAACACTACAAGAAAACACGTCCTCGAAAGACGTTCATCGTAAATCATATTTTCCTTGTAATTTCCTAGCTAATTTACGAGAAAACATTTCCTCGTAAACGCGTGGATAAGTTTTCCTCGTAAGGTCCTCGTAGGTTTTCCTCGTAATGTCATAGTAAACTGTTTCCTCGTAATCTCGTAGTAGGATCTTTATGAGGAACTTGCTAGGAAAATTTACGAGGACTTTACTTCGAAACCTTTACGAGGATTTTGCTTCGAAATATTTTTTTCCTATTTAAAAAAAATATTTATAAATTAAAAATTATATATATTAAAAAATTAAAAAACCAAATTATAAATAAAAAAATAAATAACAAAATATTTATAAATAACTAAATAATATACAATTAATAAGTTTTAAAATTCATAATATACAATTAAAAACTAAAAAAACTAAAAGGGATGTTGCTCGTGAAATTGCTGCACGAAGTCGTCGTCTCCAATGTTGGATGCCGGCTGTGACTGAGATGGTGGAGGCTGTTGGGGTGGAAGGGCTCCGCTTTCCCGTCTCTGACGCAACATCTCCGCCACTTGCGGGTTTCCAACCGCCATAATGTCGACGATATCGGTGAGCGTACTCACATGAGACTGCGTCGCCTGCAACTCCGTCCGCAGCTGAGCATTGGCATCGTCCTGTTGGTGAACATAAGCCGATGTCACTGCGGGGACATCGTTAACCGAGCCAATCTCGATAATACGGCCCTTTTTCCTAGGGGGGAACTGTAAATAAAAATATTAATAACGTAAGGAAAAATTTAAATAAATAATAAAAAATTAATATTAAAACAAATTATATACCTCCTCGTAAATCTTATCCACTTCAAGAGTAGATAATACGACTGGAGCCCCAGTCTGCTGAGTCAGCTGGGTCTGGCGTTCGTCAACTCGGGCAGCAACCTCGTTGTAGATCCGCTCGGAAGCAGGATCTACAAACTGCCCACCCTTTTTCCGGTGGGTCCGCTCGTAAAGGTCTTTCAGAGATGGAAGAACTCCTGTCTCTTTAGCCTATTTTTTTCTTTAAAAATTAAATATTAATTTAGAATATTAGAATATTCAAATAAAGTAAAAATTAAATAGTTATAAAAAATCATCTTACCATGTCTAGACGAACTCCCCCGTGAGGTTTTCGGCCCGTGGTGTGAAGCATCTTCGTGTTGCCATGCTCGTCTGTGGTCATGCGGTTCCCGGAGTTTGTCTGGGAGGTTCTGATCGAGTCCGGCAACGCCCAATAGCTGATGAGGCCATCCCACACCGTGGTTGTGAGGCAATCGGGTTTCCTGGAGTTTAAATTCCTGCGCTCGTAACAGTCCACCTGTTTTAAAATAATTAGAATTAAAGTCAATAATATATATTTTTAAAACTATACATATATTATAATTTATAAATCTATACCTGAAAGTCGCCCTTCCAGTTGTAGACCATGTCGCACAATCGTGCTTTTGCCTTGGCCTCGAACTCTGACTTCACCTGCTGGTGAATCCCAATAGACCAACGATATTTTTGCTGTAACCAGAAAAAATAAGAGACGAATTAGTTCAATAATATTCATAATTTTAAATGATTAAAAATAAATTAAGTTGATTTACTAAACTTACAGCGAACGATTTGAACCACGTCTTTTTGTGTGGCTCGCCGTCATCTTCCAGTTTGGAGCTGCATCGGGAAAGTATCCCTTGATACAGTCCGTGACGCTAGATCCGACACAATTGTCAAGACCAAACCTGAAAAGACAGAAAATAAATCATTAATTAGAACATACCATAATACTTTTTAAAAATTAATAAAACTTTTTAAAAATTAAAACATACCATAATACGTTTTGGCCGTCCCGTCGGATAAGATCTAACTCTAGCAGCCCTTCTCTGCCTGGAAGGGCCAAAATATCCTCCACCGTGTACACCGCAAATGGTGCGTTCGCCGGCACCTGCAAATCAGGATGAATCCCGACCGGTGGAGGAGGAGGAGGAGGAGGTGGCTGCTGATACCCGGATGCCGTAGAACCTCCCTGAGTCTCGGGAACTCCCGAAGATGAACCACCGGGAGCTGACGAAGATGAACCGGGTCCGAATAGATCTCCATAGTGAATCCCCTGATCAAGAGGCCTCCTGGACTGAGCAACAGCAAATTTTCTCTTTCTAACCATCTAAATTTTTTTTTTTAAAAACAGAAAACATTAATTCTCGTATAATTTTTAAAAACAGTTAAACCAACCTAATCTAAATTCCCTAAACAAACCACCTAATCTAAATTTCCTAAACTAACCACTTAATATAAATTCCCTAATCTAACCACCTAATCTAAATTCCCTAATCTAATCACCTAACTAGAAAATAGAGAGTACCTTAAGAGAATTTGGAGAGGAGGTTACTATGAGTGAAAAATTGGATTGCTCGTGTATATATAAGGATTTTTGTTTCCTCGTAAGGCCCTAGTAATGTTACTAAGGCTTTACGAGGAAACAGCTATGCCCGTGTTTTTATTTCCTCGTAAGGTCCTAGTAAGGTCCTAGTAACACCTTTACTAGGACTTTACGGGGAAACATCTTTACGAGGAAGTAGCTATGCCCGCATTTTTTTCCTCGTAAAGTCCTAGTAATGATGTTACTAGGACCTTACGAGGAAATAGCTATACCCGTGTTTTCTCTTACTAGGGCTTTACGAGGAAAGGTTTTGTAAAACCCTGAACTCGAAACCCCAAACCACAACTTCCTTAACTCCTAACCTCTTCTACACCTAAATCCCAAACCACAACTTCCTTAACTCATTTTTTGTTATTAAGCAAACTTATAAAACATACATAATTGAAATTGGTTTTAGTGATTAAAAAAACTTATAAAACATACATAATTCATTAGGATACATTCTCATAATCCGTAGAAACATCATCATTTTCGGCAAAATCGTCCTCAACACCGTCGTCCGTTGAGTGATCAGGGACATCTTCGTATTTACGATTATGCGGATCAATGAGTAGGATGTCATCAATTTCTGCTTCAGGTTCCTCGTTTTGATTGGTGTTTTCTTCTTGTAATGCTGGTTCTTCTCCCTCGATTATCCGTCCTCGAGGTGTCACTTTGATAACAGCTAACCAGTTTATTCCCGTTGTAATAATCCGAGGGTATGGAATGAAGCAAACTTGATCTGCTTGGGAAGCTAATATGAAAGACTCGAATTTGTTGTACCTGCAAAAATTAAGACAACAGAGAAATTATTAGTTCTCA